GCAATTTATATTGGTGAAAGAGAAAAACATCGAGTGCCTCTTCAGGTTGAACTGTGTTACTCGAAATCTTGTCTCTCTCTCTCTAAGGTAAGTTTGTCCAATGAAAGATATGACCTCGCCCACTTTGGGTCTCTATTCTCTTGGGACCAGCACAGCTACAACACTGCAAGTATTAAATAAGGATGTCTTTTTAACATCTGGTTCCCGTTCCCTTTGCTAGAGAGAATTTTTGGAAGGACAAAAAGAAACCCTGGTTTGACCCTCTTTTAGATGTTAATAACTATCCTTTTTGGGGGAAAAGAGAAGCGACGTTAGTTGAAATGGGCTGGAACTGTCATTGTTAAAGCCCAATCCCATTGTCTAAGACACAAGATGAAGACATAACCGGAGGAGAGAGGAAAGAACAGCAAAGATAAAAGGAATTCAGCTTCTGCCTCTGAAATTGACTTTCCTTTGCAACCTCATGGCTGAAAAACACAGGCCCTTCTGAGACCAGCTAAATTTGTACCAGTGTTAAGGTTGTTGAGGGCATTAATCTTGGCTGGCTGAGCCAGACTTGTATTAAACACAAGGCAAAAGGAAAGAGCTAGGAAAGAAAATCTGCAAGGCGAGGCAGGAAAAGACCCCCGATTGGTGGAAAAGCCAACGTCTCATTAATCCAGGTGGTGTTCGAGAATTCAGTCCACATCAGTGGAGTAGCGGTTTCATCTGTCTGGCCAAACTTGGTGGGGACATCCTCCAGCATTAGTGAGGGTAGCAGGAGATGTTAAGGGTAGCTGCCGAGAAGAAAAACTTGCTGCAGCTGTTGTTACGGGATAGTTCCTTTTCCAGCTCATTTTCTCCAAATGTCTTTTCCTGTTAAGAACCCCAAGAGGGAGGGATGGGCAGAATAGCCAATCTACTCGTAATTGGTCCTCCAAGAAGCCTATTTCCCAACACATCAATTTTCTCATTGACTTCCGGGCCTCCTTTCTTGTTTACCAAGCATAAACCCTGACACCGGCCTTGGGCAGTATCAGTCTTTCTGTCTCCCCTACATCTTGCCTTTAACAATTTTCATGACAGGTTATTAAGAAAATTTCACTCGCTTGTTACAGCTATGCTTACAGTTAGGTTAAATACATAAGCCCAAATATTACTGCTTTTGAAATTGGGACTCACACTCTGAAGTCAATAAGGTTTTTTGGACCATCAGCATACTTCCTTCTTGTTTCTTGTCTGTTTTGTTCATTTCAATTATAAACTCTTCCAGTTACGCTGTGTGTGTACAGTGCCTAACATATTGGCCTCAGCTGTGTCCCAGAGATGCTAATGTAATACAAAAAGCAATAATTTTACTACTGAGGAAATGTAAAGTCAGGATTCGTGCAAAATTAATATTCCTTTTAGATGAATGGTCAGCAGCAGTAGTGAAGGTTGTGCTGCTCTTGGCTATACTACAAGCCTTAATTTCATACAGGTCTGCCCTTAAGAGTTGATAAAAATGCCTCTTTTTCCCACTGCCCCTTTCCAAAACTAGTGATGGAATCGTGAACTCCTAATAATAACTGGATGTGACGAATGGCAGTGCTTGCTTTTATTATTGTGTAGAAACGTCTTCCCTTCAGACTCAACTAGAGTTACAAATAGCATGTGGCTAGAGACTAATGAGGACAGATGTTTCAAAAGCTTTTTTTGTCCAGGCTTTCCTAGTCCACGGTAGGTGAAAAAAAATGCCCACATTCTAATCTGATCCCAATGTAAAGAAAAATGCTCCCAGTTTGAAGGAGCTAGTGACGCACCTGTTATTTTACCCAAAGCTGGTGACGTGTGAGTGGAGATTTCCCCCTGGTGCAACTCCAGGACAAAATATACGGGGTAATAAAGAAAAAGAAAGGCAAAGTAATTTTGTTTCTTGAAAATGGATAATGCACCTGTCAACATCTATTTAGTCAGGCGGCCTTCAGTGACATTTCTAGTGACAGCAGAAGAGAGGCTAAAATTGCCTTTAGGAGACCCCTTATAGAGTAGGGGTAACTGTATTAATTTTAACATGGACCAAATTGCTTACCCCCATCTCATTTGTGGCATTAGAATCTCTCTCGTATCCACTCTCTGAAATACCCCTCTGAATTGTTCGGTATTTGGGGTTTGAGTTTTTCCCCCCTTCACGTACACTTTAAAAGAAAATGGGGGGAGAGAGGGAAATGAGGCCATCTGCTATTTTATTGATGAGAAAAAAACAAAACCTACAATTAGAGTCTTGTTCATCTTTTTAAAAAAACTATTATGCAAATACTCTTCAATTTGGTTTCAAATACTCTTTGTACTGTGATGAGCAATTTTCTTTAATACAAACCCAACTTCCTTGCCAGGACTTTTTTAATACCGGAGAAAAAACGATAAGGAGACTTTTCTTTCTTGGTGTGTTCTTCTGATGCTCAGGTTTTATCTTCCTCTGTTTGTGCGGAATGACTATTGCGGTTACACTTTGAATTGTCACTTGTACACTGGGTAGGTTTTGGAGGGGAGAAAACCAAAAGAGCTTCCCACTTCCCATTTCCGTTTCGCTTTTCAGTGTTGCTCTGCCTCGGTGAAATGATTGCCACCGGAAGGCAGAGCTCAGTGAATGAGAGGAGCTTTCCCGCCTGCTCTTCTGAAAGCCACCTGCTACTGCTGGGAGCAGCTTTGCTGCATGTGCAGAGATGCAGTTGACTTATAGGTGCAAATTACAGGCTGCTGTTGTGTCTCACCCTGCAGGATTTGTGGTTATTAGGATTTGGTCTACACTTAGTCTGAAATAAACACCCCAGGGTTGAATTTATAAGCAGTGTGTCCACACTGCCAACCCCGTTATTTCAGAATAAGGGGCCGCAGAATTTGAACTCTGTACTCCTGCTTTTCATGGGGAATAACGCCATTCCCGAACATGACAGTCTGACATAACATAACGCCATTCCCGAACATGACAGTCTGAAATAACATTAGTGGAGATGCTCCGGTGCCACTAATGCAAACTAATTGGCCTCCAGGAGGCCTTTCACAGCTCCCAAAAGTGCTTCCTGGCACTCAGTCCGAGGTAGAGCATCCACATAAACGGAGCCTGCCTCGCACTGATTTCAAGCCTTCCCCATGGACTCAGAAGTTCAAATTTGTACTGAGAGGGAGGGCCCCATTGTAGAGAGACAGCTCCTGTCTCAAAGGGTTTCCTGATCTGTGTTGGGAGTCCGAGTCATGGAGAAATGGAGCAAGTGGCCCCAGGTCATGCAGGAAGGCTGTGGAAGAGCTAGGAACTGACCCCCAGGAGTCAGATTTTCTTAGTCCCACAAGTCCCCCAGATGAGGTTTGTGAGCCAAAGTCACTTGAGCAAATCTGAATATCCAGTCCCAGGTCGTCTCTGTCTTACCCCAATGAATGGAATAAAAATAACTTTGAGTCAGGGAAACTCTCATTGCTAGCACTTTGCTGCATTATAGGCGTGATCCTGCCCTGTGCTGAGCAGTCTGGTCACACCCTCTCCCCCCCCCCCCCCCCATCACAGGCTTAGCTCTCACCATGTGCTTTTAGTGCTGTCAAGCTGATTTCCCCACTCTGGCACGATGAATGCAGAAGTGGGGGCCTGCAAAAGTATCCCAAAACCTTATTTCCCCAGGCTTTGGTATAAAGCTTCCCTGCAAAATCTTAAAAACCTAGATTTTGGGGCTAAAAATCTGCTGCTACCACCCAAGTAATGGTAAGAAAACCAGGGAAGAGATGACTTGGGAAATCTCAGCCCTAAAGTAAAACCAGGACACAAAAATTAACCAATACCAGGTTAATAAAAAAGAAATAACTTTTATTATCAGCACAATACTCCTGTTACAAGCATAGTTGGACTGGCTAGATGATAAGAGCCACCAATTAATAAACTCATGGGGAATTTTCCCATGGGGAACAAAACTTAGTTATAAAAGAGAGGAAACCCCATTTCTAAATGCACAGACATCAGATCCACAGTCCCAAATCATAAAACAATAAAACCTAATGGATTTTTCTAAACTTTACCCTATTTACAGATAGTAAAGAGTCTTTTCTTGGAGAGAGACATTTTGTCTGTCCCCCTCAGTATCTGGAGAGAAACTGCTCAGAGAGAAAGGAGGGAAAAACCAAAAATTCCTTTGTCTCAGTTTGAAATCCCTATCTGCATTTCTATTGGCTGACTGCTACCTGGCTAAGTATAATTAACCCCTTAGTCCCCAGGCTGCTGCCCATCCCTCATGGTCATGACAAGTGCTTTACTGGGTCTGGCCCAGAATACTCAGCATCGTGTAGGACTGAGCCCCAGGCCTGAGGTAGCCCGAGGAGTCAGACCTGCAAAATTTGGCTCTTTTTGCGGGGGGGGGGGGGGGGAGATGCTCCCAGCCCCATCCACAGCCTTCAAACCCTGGCTATGGCTCCATTCTGGCTCCGGCCTTATCTCTAGACCCAGCCCCTTACTCCTCCCCCTTACTCCTTTCTGTGCCCATGGCTCTGGTTCTGGGAAGGAAGCGGTGGTGAAGGGAGAAAAGAAAGGGCATGATCTTGAAGAGTTTGGGGACTGCTGCTACAATGGTTGCTTAATGCCAAGTGGCCTGCTCCACATTATGGGCCAGAGTCTAAGGAAGAAGTATGAAGAAGCTACCGCTCCCATGGAGAAACCGATCTCCTGCTCTGAGTATGGTCAGCTACCCCGCTGCTCTCTCTTCAGAGGTGGTGCAGGACAGGGGAGGGTTTCCCTCTGCAGCTGTCGATGGAGCTAAGCTGCTTTTACACCGGCTGATGGCCAGGCCCATTGTTTGGTATCCTGGAACATAAATCACACCAGTCTGGACCTTGCTGAAGAGTAGCTGGTGCTGTCTCCTCACAAGGGGAAAAGAGCATGAAACCTTATTGCACACCAGTGGGTGCTGAACCCCTTTGGGCTGTGGGTGGGGAGCACAGAGGCCACACTGGTGGGAACTGTGGAACACAATGATGGATTCGGGGTGCGTTTGTTGTTGCAGGAAGCGCTCATCATGGCAAGCATGGATCATCCCCACTTGGTGAGATTGCTGGGCGTGTGCCTGAGCCCCACCATTCAGCTCGTCACCCAGCTGATGCCCCACGGCTGCTTGTTGGACTATGTCCATGAACACAAGGACAACACACACTGGTGGGAACTGTGGAACACAATGATGGATTCGGGGTGCGTTTGTTGTTGCAGGAAGCGCTCATCATGGCAAGCATGGATCATCCCCACTTGGTGAGATTGCTGGGCGTGTGCCTGAGCCCCACCATTCAGCTCGTCACCCAGCTGATGCCCCACGGCTGCTTGTTGGACTATGTCCATGAACACAAGGACAACATTG